ACTGCCGGGCGCATCCGACCCTCCCCCACCCCCTCTTTCCTTGCCTCCACCACGTCCACGACTTTCCATCGCCGTCGACACCACATGGTCAACCACGAGACCCCCACGCGCCTGGTGCCAAAGGACCACAGCGGCTCCTCTCCTTCCGCTTGGCGGCCCCCGCCGTCGCCGCCCCCCTCCCTCCGCCGCACCGCCCGCCCTCGGCAGACACGGAAGCATTGGACCGCTCCCCGTCCTACACGCCGACGGGGGAGTTTGGGTGCATGCATTACCGGCGCGCCTGCAAACTCCGAGCTCCTTGTTGTGGGCGCCTCTATCCCTGCCGCCTTTGTCACGACCAGGCCTTGACCGACCATGCCATGGACCGGTACGCGGTCGCCGAGATCTGTTGCATGCGTTGCGGCGAGCTCCAACCCCCCGCGCGGACCTGCAGGAACCCCCACTGCCGGCACGTGTTCAGTGCCTACTACTGTGACATCTGCCGCCTCTACGATGACGACGTGGGAAAGGCGATCTACCATTGCCCCTATTGCAACGTCTGCCGTCTGGGTAAGGGCTTGGGTATTGACTTTCGCCACTGCATGACCTGCAACGCCTGCGTGTCCCTGGCCGTGCCCCCTGAGCGGCACAAGTGCATCGAACAGGCACTCCAACGGGACTGCCCCGTCTGTTCGGAGCCCCTCTTCACCAGCACCACCCACTACAAAGTCCTCTCGTGCGGACACAGCATGCACCGGCAATGCTACGATGCCTACCGACAGACCGCCTACACCTGTCCCATCTGTAAAAAGAGTATGGAAGACATGAGCAGCCACTTCGCCGGCTTGGACCTGCTCCTTCAGGCCTACCCCATGCCCCCGGAGTTTGCGACGTGGCGCTCGGATGTCCTCTGTCAAGATTGTGGGGAAGAGAGTCGTAATATTCCCTATCACTTTTTGTATCATAAGTGCGCGAATGGCTGTGGGAGCTACAATACTAGGGTCCTGCAGGCGGGGGACAGAGGAAATGGTGGGCGTGCGGGACAAGGGGGGGGAGGGATTTGATGAAGGGAAGAGGGCTACCTAATAAGCCTTGGGGCCTAGTCATAGTTGATAAGAAGCTGGAAACGTGCACTCTCCACGCTTAGCACTGGCGAAAAGAGCCCTGAGGAAGACGCAGGGTGAGAACGAAAGAGAGATCCATGCCAGGCAGATACCCAACTATTTTAGAATTTAAGAGCGACACAAGAGTCGCCATTGCATTGTACAGACTGGTTAACAAATTGGTTGGACAATTGTATTCGGATGCTTGTGCATAGTACTTTTTGGAGGGGATGTAATTGCGCTTTTTTAAGTTGAGTGAACTAGATATGGCTGAAAGATGGCAAGCCTCACTCACTCTCGAAGATTTAAATGGCGTCGCTGAGCGGGCAACGAAGATGAAGAGGGGGTTCAAATAGCCAATATGACACGATTGTCTGTTTTGATAGCCCTTAAGGGGGGGCATCCACTGGGGGCACTAACAGACACAAGTTTTCTTTGACGTGGCGGTTGACTACAAGAATGCGTTCCATTCTTTTATCCATAAATTCCGGCAGTATAAAAGTAAGGCATGCATCTTGAGCTCTACACACATTTGGCACTCCATGTATATCTCGTCAGCTTTAAAGATCTCTGGGGTTTTGGTCTTTTTCGGCCTCTCTAGGCCATGGGCTAGGGGGCGGCGAACAGAGAAGTTGAAGTGAACGCAAGTGCGAACGTCTCTCGCCTTGACACCATTTCCCCTGGCCTTTTTTCTGGGCCTGCCCACACCGTACTTCCCGCGCATGCCGACTCATGTATGACGCTTGAAACAGGTATGGCTACTTTCACTGCAATGGGAGTGCGGCGGCGGAGGAAGCGGAGTAGTCAACGAATTGCACCTGTTGCATTTCCTAGAATTGATGGCAGCTTTATTGCTGCCGCCACAGTGATGATGATTGCATATTACCCGGTAATTACAGCTTCTAAAAATGTTCAAGGTCCCAACACGGCCTATATAATTTCATCATCGCGCGTTGCCGCCGAATGGCATCTGAGAAGGCAAACGAGGACGACATCAACATCAATATTATCATCATCGGCTGGGTCACAGCATCGCCCCACCTTGTCGACCGAGCCCACGGCGAGAAAATCGTCATGCCCACGCCATTCAATCATGCCAGACGATTTCTCAAGTCAACAACACGAACGCTTGGCATCTGCTCCCTCCTGGGGAAAGGCGGAGGATATTCGGCCCCCTTCGGCCCTAGAAAGTGCCTTGTGGAAGTTCCCTTCCCTTGCTTTGCACGCCCATGCAGGCCTGGTCAACCTCACGGGTTCTGTCGCCGGAGGCGTGGTTTCTGGTTTTCGGGACGTTATCAGTCCCGCCGCTCTCGCCTCGGCTGCAACCATCACAGGAACAGTAGGACAGGTCATGGGAACTGCACCGATGCCAAAGGGCGGATGGGGGGGGGGAAGCGAGATACAAACAGACGAGGGCGTGGAGGACCTGTCCGATCTGTACGGCCAGGACGAGGACAACTTTCTGCAGGACACGGACTCGGAGGATTCCTACGCGCCTGCGCACAGGTACGACGACAGCGCAGAATTGGTCGTGTGGGCGGACGGGGGGGTATATCCCCCCCCGACAGAGCCCGAAAGCGAGGCGCGGGAGGATTCGCCGGCCATGAGCCAGCTGCAGCGGGACGTCGCTCGCATACTCGGTTGGACGACATCAAGTTCTCCGAGAGCGAGGGAGCCGGCGCTTCAGGATCAGGCAGGGAGGGGGGCTGAAGGAGGCCCGGGGGAGTCGCAGGCGGTCGGCAGCGACGTCCAAGGAAGCGAAGGCCGGCAAGCCGTGGAGAGAGACAGGGAAACCATAGCTCAGGTACGCCGGATCGCGGCGGGCCTGCTTAGGCGGTTCTTGCGGGTCGGGTTCCTGACTTACCGCCTCGTGGTCGCCGGGGCCGTGGGAATCCTCCGCAGCCCATACCAACGATGCCTCCGGCTCCTCCACGTGCTCGGGGCTGCATTTGAGGGCATGCTTGTCTCCGTGGTTCTCTTAGGGACAACGGCCTCCAACTCGATGCGTCGGATCTTGAGGGCCCCCGTCAGAGGCCTGCCTAGCCCCAATGTATGCCAACGCCTCGCCACCAGCTTCACCCGCTTCCTCCACGCGCACTGCCCGGGGTTGCTCGCCCATCCGATCTTCTACGGTGGCCCTTTCCCCTGGCAATGGAAGCTTGGGGGATCGATCTTAAGGAGGTCGTCTTCCTCCCCCGACGGTGCCGCCGGCCTACCCCCCCTGGCGGTCCTTTTGCGGGACTTGGGCGGGGCGGTTGTGTCTTCGCAGGGACAGGCTGGCCGCAGGAGGCCACGAGACAAGCGCCAAGAAAGATCCCAGCCACACCTGCACCGGCACACCCCACTTTGGAGTCTGCCACAGCATGTGAAAGACGATTGGTCAAAGTCCACGCTCCAGATCGACGCGAGCTCGAGGGAGTGGGCGGACATGCCTGTTCCTCCCCCTCCTTCCCCCCGCCTGGACTTGATCAGTCCCGTGGAGGAGAATAAACTCCCTTTGGCAGTGGTGCAGGAGAAGGGGGACAGAAGCCTTCGGAAAGAGGCGCGAACGGCCTTGAAGCGACACGAAGAGGAAAGAGCGGCAACGCCCTCAGGCCCGCCGCGTCCCACGGGGGGCTCATCTCCTTCCTCTCCCACCGCAGCCAAGGCAACCGGCTCTGGAAGAAACGAAGCCACAGCCACAGACCCGGCGAGGCAGGAGGAAACCTCGTCCTACAAAGGGCCGGAGCTGTTCACCTCCTACTTCCCCCTCGAGCTGGTGGATTTTATCGCGGAAGACGTTGCTCGAATGGGCTCGACGGCGGGATATGGGGTCGCAGCATCCACCGCAGCTCAAGTGGGAGGGACAAGTGCTGAAGAGGAACCTTCCCGCAGCGTGTCTGGGGAGGAGGCTCACGTCTCTTTGGGGGCAGAGAAACACGCTAGGACGGGGCCCTCGGAAAAGACCTCCGTATCAACCGCGAATCGGCACGTCAGTGTCGACCTGCCTGTCAATCCTTCTTTCCCTGCCTCGACCAGCGATGCAAAATTTGACAAAAACAAACTGAAAGAGCTTGCGCAAAAAGAAAGCGAAGCGGACGCCGTGAGGGCCGCGGGGGACTCGGCCTACGGACGCATCTTGGCCGACCTCAACACCCAGCCCATGCCTGTGACCGAGGAGGTGGAAGATGCGCCTCCAGGCTTAAACTTTGCCCTTCCGTACGCGGCTAGTATCCCTAGCCTGGAGCGGATGGACCAGCGGATGGTAGCCCTCGCGGTGGAGTCCGCGCTGACGGTGCAAAGCAAATCTCAGCTTTGGCGGTACATCGAGGAGATAGGGATTTCGCCCCTGCTGGCCGCGATCAAGAAAGACTTCGAAAACGACGGAGGCGGGAGCGTCGAGGAGGCTGACATGGATGACAGTAGCCACGGAGATAGCAATATCGCCTCCCCATATTCCTTGTTTCCGTCCTCCGTCTCACCCGTGGCCCCTTCCCCTGCTTTTCCCGCCCTTGACGACCGCCAGGCGGGGGACACGCACGTCCTGCGTGTGGAGGCGGTGGAGGCCATTTTGCACCTGATGGAGGTGGCGCGAGACTTGCGCGTGCTTCGTGCTGCTTTTGAAGAGGGCCCGGGCCTGGCGCCTGTGGTAGGGGTGGAAGTGGTAGCGGACCTGATCGACCTCATCGAAGAACCCCTCCTGCTCCTTATGCCTCGAATCATACGTCCTCGAAATGATGAACTTCTTTACCGTGGTCAACGCGCAGCGGTAGAAGTGCTCTTTCAACTTGTTTTGGCCTCGGACAAGGCGATCAGCTTGGCCCAGAAAGACGGGCGCTTGTGGAAT